TTGTAGTTTCAGCTTGCAACTTACGCAATAAAAATAGTTTAAATAAGTTGAAAAAATGTTGAATTTGGTGTAGGGGTTATTTTAGATTTTGCTTATGAACTTGCAGCTTTGAATAAGTTGCAAGGAACAAACATCCTCTTGAAGCTTTTTGGCTAATTTTGATGTCAATGACATCAGATTTCCTTTGAAAAAAGTATGGACTTGCCAATGGCTAAAGTATTCTAGACCAAACCAACAGAGGATTGTAGTCAGCAGTGTTGCATTGTTCCATTGATGACATGTTATATGTTCTTTTCACTGTGATCATCAATCGGGGGAGCAAAAGGTCTCTCTGAATAGTTAAGTTGATACCATGAAATGAGATCATTGATTGAGGAGGTAAGTGTTCATACACTATGCTATACAAGTGTTGGACCTTGATGAGCAAACAACTAATTGCAGAAGTTCTCTATTGTTTGAATTTTATTATTTAGCTATAATGTCATATATTAGATGGACTACCATAATTATTTAACCCCTTGTTAGAGGGAGTCAAGTGCACTGGGTACAACTAGCCACAGTTATTACCAAAAAAAACCTTGGCTAGCATAGTCGAATCTTGACTTTTGATCCAAAATTTACCCAAAAATGAAATGGAGGATCGATTGTGTAACTTCATGTTTGGATCTTGAATCTAAATTTGAGGGAATTTGTGGATGAAATAGAAATGAGAAGGAAAAAAGGAATAAAATAGAGAGTTAATTTGTCTTTCTTTTTTTTCACCAATATTTTCCCTTCTCATATCCCTCCACAAATTCGAGATTAAAACATGGCGATCATTAGAATGCCATTGAAAGGGCACCGTAATCATAAAATGGCATATATCATGACAATTGCTATTCATTGCAGGCCAAGAAAACAGATGAGCTTTCAATCTCAATGGTTCTATTAAAGGGTCTACCTACTGTTATCTTAGCCTTCTGAGTTACTTGCCCTCGCTATCATTGTTGTATACACACAAAATGTCACCCCTTGTCTAATTATTTTACTTTTTGTACCTTCGGGAAACAATTATTAAGAAGCATGCTGACCACCAACTAAGAGTATTACTCGGAAAATTATTCAGTTGTCGGGAATCACAACATCAATTTTGATTCTGGCTATTTATGGTCGATTACATAAAAAAAATTGTGACCCTAGGTCTTACTTTGTTGAACTTATCTCTTCGTGAAGGTGAAAAGAGTGTAATGTTATGGTACACACCTCTCAAAGGCTTGTACCATATGTACCTTTCTTATGTAATTTTGTGATAAATGTTACGTATTTTTGTGATAGAGTTACGACATTTTGTAATTTAAAAATGAAGTTACTTATTTTGTAGTAATATTACATATTTTTATGATAATGTTACACATTTTTTGGTTAGAAAATGTTTGAATAAAAAAAATGTGTAACATTACCAAAAAAATGCATAATATTACAACAAAATGTGCAACTTCATTTATGAATCACAAATTATTGTAATTCTAACAAAAAAAATTACATAATATTTTCACAAAAATACATAATATATACCTTTTAGTGGTGTAACAACAAGAATGGAGTGAGTCTATCAACATGATTTAAAAGTTTAAGCCCATATTAATGCAGTGGGTCTACAAATATGATTCAAAAACTTGAACGGTCTATCTAGATAATCCAAAAACTTAAACCCATATTAGATGGATGTCGGATATCACAAGAAATAGAGGTAGCTTCATTTCGCCCGAATGACAATCAGTTGGACAGCCGTCTGGACGATCACTGTCACTCTTATTAATCATGATTGTTATCTTTATTATTCGATGTGTTAATCGATATCCGCCCGACTGATCAGCCAGACAATAGGTATGCACGAATTTAGGTGAGCTAAAATTCGGTAGATGTAGTATTGTTAAATTTTAAAATGTATTGGTCCTCGCAAATTAATTTACGGTAAAATTTTGCTTAAAATATGGATTGTCTTTTGTGGTTTAGAAAATTACAAATAGCCCCACTGTTAGAATTTTTTATTTAATATAATCAAACGAAAAAATGAAATTCTTAACTATTTTCTTATACAATAATAGAATTGCCTAAATTATTAATTAAAACAAAATTTTGACATCATTAAAATATGTTCATTGATTTGATGATGTATTAATAAAATGGACCATTTGTTATGAAATTAAAAACTTCAAATGCTGGATGTAATTTTCAGAATCATATAAAATAATTCGTATTTTAAGCAAACCTTAAGAAACGTAGTTATAATTTACCCAAAAAAAATAATAATAAAATCCAAATATCCAACAACACATTAAATAAGTTGTCCTACTTTCTCTCATTAGATATGATGTGTCAAGTCTATATGTTATCCGTAAAAAACTTAGGAAATTTTTTTAGAAAATATTTAAAAATTTGTGAAAAAAATTTATAACTTTTAATTATTAAAATTGATAAAATTCTCCATCTATTTTTAATATATATATATATATATATTTTTTTTTTCTGAAACTTATACTGCAGTATAATTTTTTCAAAATTTCAAACCTCCATTTTTGTACAATTAAATGATGTTACAAACATAATTCGAATGATCAAGTGAACTTTCCTATTCACCTGTACTTTTTTTTTTAGATTCATCTATTCACCTGTACTTGTATGGTGAAGGAAAATCACAAGTACACGAATTTTGGATAATTAATTGTACTGGCTATGGCATTAGGGTTGGATGAATAAGAGGAGGCCGATTATGAGGTTAGGTGGAGGAGTGGCAGTGGTGATAATCGCGGGTGCTTGCAGAGCAAGAGAAGAGAGAAAGTAAGGGCAAAAATATAAAAAAGGCCATAAGTTTGAAGTTGATAAATAACTTTTAAGCTGCGCTTAAGACCCCAATCTTCAGGCATCCCCACCACCCCCACACACCTGTGGGGTTAGTCATTGGTAGGAATGGCAACGGGGCGGGGCGAGGCGGGGCGAGGCCGGGGATCGCACTCCCCGTCCCCGATCCCCGATGGTAGAATTTCCCCCGGCCCCGGCCCCGATCCCCGACGGGGAACCTATCCCCGCCCCCCCCCCCGCCCCCAACGGGGATCGGGTTTCCCCGACCCCGAGCATTTCCCGGCTAAAAAAAAAAATTAGAAAATGCAACTCATCAACAACAACAACAACAACAACAACAACATCATCAGAAAATACAGATCTGAAACAAAATTATTAGTCTGAAACAGATCTGAAACAACATCCGAAAATACAACAACATAAACAGCATCATCCAAAAATACAACATCAACAATCAGAAAATACAACATCAACAACATCATCAGAAAATACAACTCATCTGAGACAGATCTGAAACAGATCTAAAAAAAAAAAAATATTGTGAATCAAATCTCAAACAGATCTAAAAAAAAAAAAGATCTCATCTGGTGGTCGAGGCTCGTCGAGAGAGAGGGAGTGGATGAGAGTTGCGATGTGGTGGTGCAAGGCTCGGCGGTGGTGGTGCGAGGCTCGGCGGTGGTGGTGCGAGGCTCGGCAGTGGTGGTGCGAGGCTTGACAGTGGTCGGCGGTGGTGATGCGAGGCTCGGCGGTGGTGGATCTGAGAGAGAGAGAGAGTAGTCAGTGAGAGATGGAGGACACGGGTATTTTCTGAGAGAGAGAGAGAGTAGTCAGTGACCTGGTTTATATATATATATATATATATAAGGGTGAAATTGTAATTTAACATCGGGGATTGATCCGGGCCGGGGATCGGGGACGGGGCTGGGCCGGGTACGGGGCTGGAACACTGATCCCCGTCCCCGGCCCGAATCTGTTCGGGGATTGATTTTTAATCACTATCCCCGCCCCGTCGAGGGTATTTTTCGGGGAAAACCCGCTCAATTCGGGATCGGGGGGTCGGGTCCCCATCGGGCCGGTTTTAAATTGCCATCCATTGGATCAAAAAAAATAAAAATAAAAAACAAACAGACCAATCACACTCCACTGAAAGTCCTGGGGGGTCACCCCAGTGGGAGTATGAGGCATTAACCATAATTTTTTATTCTCCATTGCTATTCCAAATCTTTAGTTTCTTTCCACTCCGCTGTAACAAAGAACCCATAAATCCCCTGATTAATAATCCTAATAAGACTATATGTTGATAAGTAAATAAATAAGAACACTGAATTAGTGTGATTAAAAGACAATCTTCCCTCATTCAATGCCCCCTCCCCTCAAGAGAAAATATCATTTCGCCTCTCAAATTTTTACTTATTTTTTAATTTGATTCTTAAACTTTGATTAATATTAATTTTACATCTAAACTTTTAAAATTTTGATTAATTTGGCCCCAACTGTCATATTTCGTCCATAATAAAACGGAATGTGTTGACGTGGGGACAAATTGATTTTTAAGGTATAGTTTGGGAGGCAAATTGATTTTTAAGGTATAATTTGTGAGGTAAAATAAAATTTCAAATGAATTTTGATGTCACGTCGACACATTCTGTCTAATTGTAGACGGAATGTGACAACAAGGATCAAATTGATCAAAATTTTAAAAATTTAGATATAAAATTGACATTAATCAAAGTTTGGGAATCAAATTAAGAAATGCATGAAAGTTGGGGAGGCAAAATGATATTTTCTCTCCCCAAATCCTATTAAAAAAATTCAAAAAAATTATCCAGAGTAAATAATCAATGGTCTATGTTTTTTAATATATTTAAATCCAATTAACTTTAAATTTACACTACATACTCACTATCAAATAAAATTTAAAATAAATTTTTATAATCCATAACATTTTTAAAACAAATTAAACCTAGCAAAAACTCCTCCTTTTATAGACAAATTTGTTGAAATAACACCTAATTATAAGCACCTAATATCTAGCTATTTTGCCCCACAAACCATAGATACTTCACAATATGCCCTTAATACTCTCTCCACCATCCACCTCCCTCTCTCTCTCTCTGTTATTACTCTGCAACAACACACAATATTCTCCTCTTCTCAAATTCTCTATCTTCCTCTGCATTCCTCTCTCTCTCTCTCCTCCTCTTCTTTCTCTCTCTACAAAAACTCAAGCATATACATATAAACAGAGAGAGACAGAGACAAACCTAGATTTTTGACAATGCTGCCATTTCAGAGCATCCAAGAAGCAGAGTCATCTCTGGGAAGAAACCTGAAATTTGCAGAGAATCTATGGTTCAAGTATTCTGCTAACAAGTCCGATTACTTTCTCTACTGCCATAACACCATCTTCTTGCTCGTCTTCTATACCTTGCTTCCTCTGCCTTACGTGATCGCAGAGCTCTTGAGGTCTAACAAGATTGAGAGGTTCAAGATTCAACCTAAAGTCAACAACTCCTTCAAAGACATGTTCAATTGCTACAAGAACGTCATGACCATTTTCATTCTCGTCGTCGACACTCTGGCTCCCTCTCTTGAAGGTTCAGAAACATTCAGGTATATATATATATATATATATATTTAAATACATATATACTTGCATTTATTAGTAAGTACTATTATTTGTATATTTGATCCAAAAAATCCTAATTTTTATATTTAAGGTATTTTATATACAACTTTATATTAAAAATATTTTTTGAACGGTTAGCAAGTTAGTGAATATTCACATTGATAATGTGAACATTTACATTGACAGCAAAAATGCGAATGTTCATATCACGAAATATTCACACTATTAATGTGAATATTATTATTAGAAATATTTTGATAATTATATCACCTATACGATTTATTGGAATATAAGAGTAAAACATAAATAGGTGAAAAAAGATTTATGAATAAATGTCTTTATATATATATACATCGGAATGTGAAAATGTGTAGAGAATTGAAGACTCGAAGAAGTGACGAGGAAGATTGGGAGAAATTCTCGAAGAGAGGATATTGAGAGTTCTCTCTCTCGTTTTCGTTGTAGAAGTTAGTTAATCAGCTACAAAATCATGTTGTTTACGCTGTAGAAGTTAGTTAATCAGTTACAAAATCAGGTTGTGAATTTACGAATTTACCCTTGTTAATTGAGGGGGAAATGAATATTCAAATTGCGGTGTTTTCATAAGTACACATGCATAAATGGAAGACGGTTATAATAATCTTCATCTAAAGAAATCAAATGGAAAGAATTGGAACATAAAAATGGATTTATTTTTATTTTTATTTTTGTTGAAGAAATCAAAATTTGAAACAAAAAACTTGACTATTATATTGGGATAATTTGGGTATAAAAAATATGTGGCATAATTTTGTCAAGAGAGAGTTGTGTAGTTTATATAACACTTGTAATTATATATTTGAAAGTTTGAAAAGATTGATTAATGAGAAAAATATGTTGCATTTGAAAATGGTTTTAAATAGTTCTTGGATTGCTGGATGGGTAGTTTCTATGGCTAATAAATTTAGGAGCATTTTTGGAAAGCGAGGGTCTTGGCAATTTTTTTTTGAATTGTGTGTTTTATATAATAGTATAGATGAAGTTAGCATAGATAATATAATAGTTATTATTTATATCATATATATTGTATAGGTATATAACATGCTATGCAAAAATGTGGTTTCAATCACACACTTTTGTCAAGGAGTTTAGGGTTTAATATGTTGAGGGCCCTCTGCCTCCATAAAATACCCTTTATTATAATTTGAGTGTACAATAAATATAAGATACCTCACCACATAATTTAAATATGGAAAAATTATAGACTGTTTTCGGAATATCACGTATTCATACTCCTAACAAACTTAATTTATTATGTCCTTTCATATTTGTCAATTATCCAACACAATATCCCACCTACCTACCTTCTTTACCAATTATAGATTACTAAATAATTACCCTATAAATATGTATGTATTTTATATGTAGAGGATGCCAAATATAATGTGTTCTTTGTTGTTTTATATTATCGAATTATATAGTAAGACATTATTTAATTTTATTAATTAGTATTTCCAAACAATGAACTAATTATGAATATCTACGTAGGATTTTGTATTTAATATATACATGTACATAAAATTTTGTTTAAAAATGTTCTGAACGCATATGTTTCTAAAATTGATCGATTCCCAAAAACACTTATATAAATGAATTTATATGTAAGCTATGCACACACTTTATTCATTGCATTTATCAATATTGCTATGAATATGCCAGTTTTTGGGATAACAATACTATAAATCCAATGAAATTGGAGGTAGAAGCCTTTTGAGAATGGATTTTTTTAGTAATTTTTTAAAACAAAAAAAAATGTAAAAAAATAGAGAGAATAGTTTTACTTTTTGTAGTAATTTTTTAACTTGTTTTGGTTGGTTCTCAAACAACACCTAAATCCCTTAATCCCTTGGCTTTATTGTCTTTTCCTTTATTGTTTTTTTTTCTTTCTTTTTCTTTCCCTTGGCTTTAATATGAATATAAGTTCTGAGAAGTAAAACCAAAATTTTGTTTCTATGGTTGAAGAGCATTGGGATTAGAACAGGGTTGCCATTGCCATCAGGGACAGAGATGCTCTTGCAAATGTTGGTGTATGTTCTTATTGAGGACTACTCAAACTACTGGCTGCATAGGTTGCTTCACTGCAAATGGGGATATGAGAAAATTCACAGAGTCCACCATGAATACACTGCTCCAATTGGATTTGCAGCACCCTATGCTCACTGGGCAGAGGTTTTGATCCTTGGATTCGCATCGTTTCTTGGTCCTATGATGGTTCCTGGCCACATGATCACATTCTGGCTCTGGATGGTCTTGAGGCAGCTGGAGGCCATTGAAACTCATAGCGGGTATGAGTTTGCTGACATTTTTGCTTTCTGTTTTCAATAATTTTGAAAGTTGGGAACGAAAATGAGTTTGGTAAACTGCTTTTGTTTCCAAGAAATGGAAAAAGTGAAAATCAAAGGAAAAAAAAAAAAAAAGTGTTTTTACTTGTTTTGAAAATGGAATATTTTCAACACACCTTTTGATCTGCTACTAGTTTAGTAGTGTGCTTTTGCTTTCTGAAAACAAAAAAAAATGTTTTTAGTAACTGTTTTTGACATGTTTTTGTTGTCAAAAACAATTACTAAATATTGCAATTCACCAAACTAATATATTTTCGGCTTCTCAAATATATTTTTTCAAAGGTAAACTACTTTTATATTAGCCCCTTCCTCCTAAAATATAACATCTAGATCTAGTCCATTTCGACAATGCTATATATCCATAAAATTTGTTCGGAAAAATATTTAGAATTCACAATCGAAGGACAAGATTCATTCTAATTGTGCCCCACAATAACAACTTTAAAATTTATACTGTAGATTTTAAACTTGGGGCTGTTGTTGGTATAGCTTTTCAAGGTAGATAGCATCTTTTAATCCATTTTGCTTATTAATCACTTGCATCAATATTATTTATTCTTTTTTATTTGTATGAAAATAATGTTAGTGAATATAGTTTTTGAAGCAAATTGTCACTGATTATCCAGATATGATTTCCCTTGGAGCATCACAAAGTTTATTCCATTCTATGGAGGGGCAGAGTACCATGACTATCACCATTTTGTTGGGAAACAAAGTCACAGCAATTTTGCCTCAGTCTTCACTTACTGTGATTACATTTATGGAACAAACAAGGTTAGTCCACAATTAAACATTATTTAGTATTATTATTTTTTTTTTCTTTTTTTGCTTTTTAGCAGAGTAACATGAATTTTTTGATCTCATTTTTAGTTTTTGTTTTATTTTTATTTTTAATATTCCAAATGCATCAAGGCTTTACATTTCTTGTGTCAATTTGCTGCCTTTGGATTTGATGTTTTGTTTTTTGTGGCTAAAATAGCCTATTTTGTTTTTTGTGGCTATTTTAGCCCCAAACTCACCCAAACCTTCTTGCCAAACATAGGCTATTATTATTTTATTTTGCTTTTTTTGCTTTTTATCAGAGTAACATGAATTTTTCGATCTCATTTTTAGTTTTTGTTTTATTTTTATTTTTAATATTCCAAATGCATCAAGGCTTTACATTTCTTGTGTCAATTTGCTGCCTTGTGTTTCACTAGGGATACCGCTACCGGAAGTCAGTCTTCGGAAAGGTACCTCTCAAACACCCTGTTCATTTTCTGTATGATTTTTCGTATAGCGTTTATTTTTACAGGCATAGACGCGCTCTCAAACACACATTCATGTATAATCCTGACTTTTTTCCTTTGTTTCAAAACAAAGTGTTCGCTTAAACTATATCATTAATCTTCAGTACAAAATTGCTGCATCTGTTGGAGTACACATTAAGCTCAATGCAGTTCAAATAGAAAAACAATACCATCAGTGTGTTTGATTTCAAATTTTTGGATTCAATTTTTTAAAAATTGAATTTTTTTATTTTTGGTGTATTTTTGTTTTTAGTGAATATTTTTAAAATTTTAAGCAATTTTTTTTTTAGATGCACTTTAATTAGATGTATCTAAAAAGTAAAATATTTGCAAAAAAAATTTTTAAAAAATTAATAAATGTACAAAAATATAAAAAATGTACTGAATTCTCATTTTTTATTTATTTATATTTAGTGAATTTTCTAAACATTTTTTTCAAAAAAATTATACTCTTTAAATGTAATTATGTTAGGTGTATCTAAAAATTAAAAAAATTGTTTAGAATATTAAAAAAAAAATCAATGAAAACAAAAAAACATAGAAAACAAAAAATTTTAATTTTTTGAAAAGTGAATCCTGAAAATCCAAACTAAATACTGATCAATAATCCATCATTCAAGCCACATTTTTTTTTTTCATTTTTCTTTTTACTTTTACTTTTTTAATTAAGGATTTCTTAACGATAGTAATGATTTATTTGGTGATATAAACTTGCTATTCTATTTCAAGGGTAGCTTGAAAAAGAATTCTTTTCATGGTTCAAGAATATTATTGTAAATGGATGGCTATTCTTATCTAATCAACTTGATTTCTAGACTGTGTTTGTATCTTAGATTTGTGACGGGAAATGAAAAAGCTAAAAACCACGTTATTTTCATTTTCCATATTTTCATAAGCAAAACAATGAAAAGTTCAAAAACATTCATCATTTTCATTTCTGTGTAAAAATAATTTTTTAAATTTCCAAAACACTTTTTGATGTTTTTTAAAAAATGAGTTTTTTTTTAGAAATTTCCCCCCCAAAAAAAATTTAATAAACAGTTTTTATGTTTTCCAAGAAAATGAAAACACAACCAAACAATTCATTTTCTCTTTTCCGTTTTCCTGTCTTGTTTTTTCCTCTACAAATCCAATATCCTAACGCATCCTTAATACATCTTTTAGGTTGAACTTGAAGTTTTTTTTTATTTACTTCCAAAATTTGTAACTAGTTTCTAACTAGGTTCCTCTCTGACTTTGATTAGTTGAGGGAGAAACAAAATGGAGGCAAATACAACATCTCCAGGCAAGATCTCAAAGCTGAGTAGGTCCCAATTTCTTTCCAATCCAATCATTGTTTTCTAGCAACTGAATAGGTGTGTCTTGGTGACCTTCATTCATTTTTGTTGTCATGGAGATATTTTTGTACAGAAGTTCTTCCCTCTCCTTCTAGATAAAGATCTAATGGATGAGTTTAACTAGTATATGGACTATATGCTTGTGTAGAAGATTTTCGATGAGTTTGGATGATGGCTTGTGATTGCAATTTTAAGTACAATCTTGGGGAGATGAAGGTTACATGAATATCAAACTTTTAATGTCAAAGAGTTCATCACAAGTTTGCATTATGTGCTTGGCCAATGCTTGCTTCCTAACATGATTATATATATATTGGAGGTGTGAACACACATTAAGTATATGTAGAGTAATTAGATAAATCATGACAGTTACTAAGTTCGAAACAGTTAAATCTAAAAGGGGTATTTTGTCAATTTCTCATCACTCTAGTATTACAAATCATAGTGACAAAATAAATTACACCTCTCTATTGCCTCAACAAACAACAATGAATGTTCCAATGCTCAATCTGATTTCTCTGTACATATACACATGCTCAATCCAAATAGAGTTCTCAAAAAACGTAACATTTGACACAACACAAACAAAAAAGTGTTTTCAGTTTTTATTTGTTTATTTATCAATAGGAGGAGAGTATTAGGGATAGGGAAAGTTGTATCACAAAGCTGGTGAGACTCGAACCAGGGCATCACAACAAGTAAAGAGAGCGCCTCAACCAAACCAACACTTTCAGCTTGATAAGTGTTCTTAGTTTACAACGTTATAAAAAGAGATTTTAAGAACTCGTGCCAAAAACATAAAACTAGAGAAAACCCTTCTCTTTGCAGCATTGAATCGCCCCATCGAACATTTCTTCAAGGCCATACTTATACTTGAACCCAGTATCCAAAAGCTTCTTCGATGATAGGTCAGACAATGTGAATCTTTCAATTTCTTTCAAGGATCTGCATAAATAAATGGAAGAGTGATGACTAAGATATGTTTTTTGACAATGGAAAAATAACAAGAAAAACTCGGAAAACTGAAAAAAAAGAAAATAGAACTCACTCGGGTGTTGGTATTGGATATTCTGGGTATCTGGCTGATAGAAATTCAGCCATGTTATCGATTGTTACTCTAACTGCCGAACAAACATACCTCCCTTTTGCATCAGGATATTCAAGAAGGAAGATATGTGCACTGGCAACATCGTCAATGTGCACCATTTCCACTTTAGTAAGATGCTTGTATTGATCTTTGTTGCCTACAGAGAATGGAAAAAATTGTTTAAAAAAATGCAAGGCTGATATTAGGTGGAAAAAATACACTTATGATCCTTGAAGCACGCTGTGTCACTTTGATCACTTATGTTTTAATTTTTCAAGCCGATTCCATTTGATGGGACTTAAGGTTTCGTTTGGTTTGGTCATCAATAAAGTTTTCAATTTTAGTTAAATTGGTCTAATTCCAAATAGCCGTCTAAATTGTTAGCGGAATAATTATAAAGTTCAACTATGATGTCTAAAGTATGTGTTTTGGTGCCCAAAGTTTAAATTTTGTTTATTTTGTTCCTCAATATTGTAAGTCTATGTGGCATCTTTTAATCAATGTTTAGAGAGCAAGTGACAATATTAAAAACTTTAGGGACCACAGGAGTAATTTTATTTTTTTTATCATTCCATTAACTATTTAGACAGTTCGTTTCAAATTAGACCAAATTGACTCAAATTGACAACTTCAAAGATGAAATTGACGAAATTGAAATTTGAAGGACCAGAATTACACGGAACATGAACTTCAGCGACCATAAATCTATTTTCTCCACTGAAATTAATATAGTTTTTTGTGCAACCTAAGCTGATCCACAAAAGGTGACCAACAACTCATCCTTCAAAATTCTCCGAAGTCATCCCAACTATTTTACAATACTTGAATCAACTAACTCAGATAATCCAAAGAAAAATTCTAAGCGAACAAAATTCAATAGTAGAACCAGACACAAATCTCTCACAACTGTATACAGTCCTATTATCAAATTATGTGTATGTAGAACAACTATAATCTGAAATAACAAAATGCAAGAAGAGGCAAGTCATGAGAAATGACACATACCGAGGATCATAGCCATTGAAGAGTGTACTGAACCGGGCAAACGAGGACAAATGAAGGGTCCATGGATATAAGTAGGAATTACAGTAACAAGATCCAATCCATGCTTTTCAGCAAACTCTAGAGCAGCTTTTTCAGTTAAGGTCTTGGAAATCATGTATGAAGCTCCATAAATCTTCAAGGATCTAATATAATCTAAATCACTCCAGTCACTCTCGTCCAAAACATCTAAACCCTTGTCATTAAACAAAACAGTGGATGAACTAGAAGTGTATACAACTCGTTTCACTGTCTTCCAATCAAGGCATGCTTTTAAAATGCCGAGGGTGCCGTTGATTGCTCTCTGGACCTTGACTTCTTCGGGCTCTTTGTCCTCAAAATCAATGGGGTGAGCAACGTGGAAGACTCCGATGCAGCCTTGGATAGCTGCATCAAAACTTTCTGGAAGGGCAAGATCTGCATTGAAAATTTGAAGCCTTTCTAATGCACCGGGCAAGTCTGTGAGGTAGCTAAGGTCTTTCTTGTTATCTGGTCAGAAAACCCATAGATCAAAAATGTCAAAAAAAATCTCAAGACTTTGCACTTGATAGTTGATACACAATTTGATTTGAAAATAACATGGACAGATCACATTGTAAATGCAGGCTAAAAGACCAAATAGTAAATGGGTACTAGAAATGATAAATTCAATTTATTTATTTTTTTTGTAAGTAAGGATTTATTAACAGAAAAGAAGAAACATACAATGAGGCTCAATACATAACCCAACGAGCACAAATACATGACTGAGCAAGCCCAGCCTCTCAATGCGATCCACACATCCAAAGACCTAGCCTAAATATATATTTCATATATTCTCTTTGTTGCTTATACAGATTTTATAATCAAGGTGTATAAACTGGTTTACATGAGGCTATAATTGACATTATGAAACTTTTGATTCACAATGAAAGTCTTTAGCAATTAGAAGCCACATTTCATTTTTTCCCTCTCCAATGAGCATGGGAAGGGAATTTTTGCACTAATTTACTAGGTAAGAGCATCTCTAGATAGGCTAAAGTGGCTCCTAGTGTCAGCCATTAGCAATTAGGAGCCGCATTTCATTTTTTCTCTCTTCAATGAAAATGTTAGTGTGTCAGTCATAGTGTTCTGTGTTAACTGTGGAGAGTCCCTTAAAAAACAAAATGTGGGCTCCACTCATCTCTTACAAAGCTCTTCCAAAAGCAAAATAAAAAATAAAAAATAAAAAATAAAAAAAGGCCCCAAGCTTCTCTCTAGTTCAAGATCGGACTAGAGTGTGTTGTTCGGACTGTGGGAGTCTATCATGGGTCCTGTTTCGATAATCCTAACCGTTCAATGTATAGAAATCGTCGAATACTTTATCCTTCTAAAAAATCACGTTGATCAGATATCAATAGCTACTTGATCGGATCAAATTTCTATCAACAGTAAATATAATTTTCAAAATAAATTATTGACAAAATTCTGATCCGATCAACATGATTTTTTGTAGGAATAAAGTACTCGACGAGTTCTACACATTGAAAAATTCAAATTATTGAAACAGGACTTGTGGTAGGCTCCATGGATCCAACAGTAAACTGGAGACAAGTCTGGCCAAAAAAAATGGATGATAGTGATGGACTAGGTGGCTAGTGAATTCTCCCCTTCACAAAAAGTGGGACCCACAAGATAACACACTGTTAACTAATTCATTGGAACACCCATGTAGTCATTCAATTACCTAATACGACACAAATTTGAGTTTCACTTCCGCGTATACACTTCAACACATTTTTAGATGATCCATTGAAAATGCTCTAATAAGGGTGCTCATTCGAGTGAGGACCTTCACATCCTCTACTAGACATAGCTAGTGTGATGTACTATAGGCCACCTTAGTCGCTTTTTTTCCTCTCGTTTTCATTTATGACGTGTTTGGTTGACGGATTTGGGGAGGGATTTGGAAAGGGAAATGAAAAAGGTGTGTGAAACTATGTGAAATATAGGCATGATTTATTCACATTTCACCTACCTTTTCCATTTCCCTTTCCAAATCTCTCTCCAAATTCCCCAACCAAACACAGCATTACCTTGAATAAATAAATAAATCTACTTGGCTATGAAAGTATGATTTGAGTGAATGATTTGTAGAAGAACAGAAGATAATGTTTTGACCCATTCTACCAAGTGACTATCAATTAAGGAAGGAAAAGTTTGAATATATTATTAAAAATTAGGTATTTTGAACAAGAAATAGTTTACTATTTTAACATAACCATTCTCAAATAAAGGCCTCGTTTAGAAACAGATTATTTTAATAATTTTTTAACTTTTTAAAAAAAGATGTGTAGAAAAGTAGAGAGAGTAATGTAACAACTTATAATGACTTTTTGACTTTTTAGATAAAACATATAGTTGCCAAATGAGACCTAAATATATGTACAGTACTTGTTTTATCTTAATAAAAAGGAATAGGGTAAATTACATTGACACCCTCTCTGTTTTCTTGAAATACCATTGCTACCCCACTTAATCTCTATAATACCACTGCCACTCCCTATCAGATGGCATCACTACAAAAAGGGTAAATTTACCATAATGCCCGTGATTAATATATTTAGTCTATGTTACATGGACTCTTCAGAATAAATTAAATACCCATGTTAGACACTCAACACTCGGACAAGGGTATGAGATATGTGTCGGATACTTTTCAACGGATACTTCTTATATAATTGTATATAACACAATTATTATACGTACATATTGTTGTGTAATTGCTATAGATGTTATTTTGACACTGTAAGTTACATATAGTACCATTTTATCTCATATATTATATTAAAAATATAAAAATATGACATTTTTTTGCCGAGTCCACGTACCCTTAAATTTATGATTTAATGAGTCTGACCTCTAGAGACATACCCGTACCTGACACCCGTATCTGAGTCCATATAACATAGTATTTGGTTTAATTTACTAAAATGACAAGAAAGTGAAAGGACCATGATACCCTTATTTCTACTTTCTACCCTTTTATATAGTTAATGACTCACCAAATGGATAAATTAGATCTTTTCAAGTGTTTCATCCCCATAATCATCATCTTTTTTTTCATTGTCTAATACTCTTTTTTAGGACTAAAAGGTTGACACATGTTGTAGAGTTGATTTTGTTCATAGTAATTGAGTGATTGCTTTTAATAATAAAATAGAAACATAATATATAATACATAATGTTCAATTATGTATTTTTTATGAATTGATTCTTGAATATCAGTTGACATTTGATAATACTCAATTTCACCTACAAACATTATGATTTCACGTCCATATATATACATATAATTATATTTGGGTAATGCTATGAAATATAATTATATATGTCTGTATATATAATTCTAATGTTATTATGTTCAATTGTATAGTTTTTATTGATAATACTATGTCACCTTCAAGATAATGAGTATACTCATCTATTTTCTTATTCCAGAGCTATAATTCACCTCACCTAGGTAGATTATTATTATTATTATTATTATTATTATTATTATTATTATTATTATTATCATCGTCATGATTAAATCAGCCATTTTATCAAGGTTTTTTGCTGGATAAAATTACTCAAAAAATCTATTAGTTTAAAAATTAGGATTTTTCCAGAATTATTTTGTGGCTGTAAAAATTAGAGTTTTTCTTTGTGGTGCTTTTGTCTAGTTGAAAATATTAGGATTTTTTGTGATTGTAATTTGCATGCTTTTGTCTAGTTATAAAAATTCTATATTTGGTTCAGAAACTTGTTTTAGAATTTTTTTTGAACACCTAGAAATTAATTTGGTTAAAGAAATGAAAAAATATATAAGAAAAATCACTATGCTTGGTTATCATTTTTCAAAAACACTTTCCAGAAAATTCTACTTTCTTATTTTTCGTATTTTTTTGTTTTTACTGAATTTTTTTAATATTTTGAACAATTTTTTTAAATTTTTAGACATACCTAACATAAATATACCTAAAAAGTCAAAAAAATTATAAAAAAATCTTTTAAAAATTCACTAAATACCAAAAATACAAAAAAAATACGAGAATTCAGTACATTTTTTGTATTTTTATATATTTATTAATTTTTCATAAATTTTTTACTTTTTAGATACATCTAAGTAAAGTGTATCTAAAAACGTAAAAAAATGTTTAAAATTTTAAAAATATTCACTAAAAACAAAAAAAATACGAAAACTAAAAAATTCAATTTTCAAAAAATTTAATTCAAAAAACTCAAACCAAACCCACTAAATAGTTTTAGAAAAATGCTTGGGAGCACTAATTAGTGCTCCCACTAATTAGGTGGCAGTGGGTCCCGCCATTAATGATGTGATGTTTTGATCTTGGAGTTGTATTTTTTTTTTTTTTTTTTACTTTTTTAATGCATTAGTGCTATTAGTGGTGGTGTTTTTAGTGGGATGAATCATTATTGTGAAAGAATCAAGCAAAGTCTTTACAGTCACCCCTCAAATCAAAACATGATCCGATTGAAAACCCATCACAGTCACATACATACAAGCAAGTGATCACTAGGGTTTTGAGAAAGGTAAACAGGCAGATTAATTACCTGGGTTATAAGATCTAATTGTAGTTCGAACCCTGTAACCATTTTCAAGTAGCTTCTTGATCAACGATGCTACATACCCTGTTCCACCTGTCACACAAACACTACCCTTTTCACCGCTTCCATCTTTCTCTCCCTTTCTCTGTCTCCAAAATGATACTTTTTATTTATATATTACTTTATTTGTGAGATAGTACTCTGTTTTGTATCCTTCATATACTGGTCTCGTTTGGAGAGTGGCTATTTTAGTAGACTATTTTAATTTTTGGTTATTTTATTAGGTTAAAATTTTTGTGTTTGGGAAGATGATTGAATTTTTTTGTGATTGGATGTGATGTTTGTAAGAGAAAAAGTGAAATGATTATGAGTTTGATGTGATATTTTGTCTTATTAACTATTTTAGCCTATTTTGTCTTTTTATGATTTTTAGCCTACACTAGGCTATTTTTTTTCTTCCCAAACACCCTTAGGACTAGTTTGACATTTTAAAAAGAAGTTATTATTTAAGTTACATCATCTCTCTAACACATTATTTCAAATCCAACTTAAATTCAACCCATATTTTATAAAAAATTAAAAAATATACTTATTTAGATTATCCCAAACAACCTCTTAATTCCTTTTGTTGGTGGTGGGTCTACACCTCATCCAAATAACTTGTCACCAACCACACATCTCTAATGTATTAACATATATATATATATATATATATACATTTTAACAACTTATTAATAAATAACTTTGTCACCTTACCCCACGTATCTAATGTAGTGTAGTAAACATGGGAAAGATTTGTACAAGAAAATAGTTTAATTTTATATTTTTTGAGTCATAAAAAAAAATTATAAGTAAATACTATATAAGGTATAATCATATATCTCAAAATAACGTAATGATTAAATAAAAAAATTGATCATAATTAAGGAATAAATTAGTATTTAAGAGTACATATAGTAAGAAAGTGTATGGTAGAATTCTCCAATAGGATGAAAATAACATTGTTAGGCTACTTCAGTGGAGGTAGTAGAAACAATTTCCCAAAGGTTATATAATTGGGGTTTTAAATGATCAAAATTCATTCATAATAAAATTTTATGCATTAAAGATAAGTACAAAAAAAAAAATTTTTAAAATTCAGTTTACATTACTATTACCAAAATATGCTTACTAACTAATTTAATATTTTAATCTTTAAAATGATTTGCTCTTTAATAAAATTAATATTTTTATAATTCTCTCATCAAGATTGATCAAACAAGATTTAGGTTAATTATGAATTTTTTTTTTAAAAAAATTACCGTTGAAATTAACGTAAACAATAAAATTTTATTATCAATTAATTAGGAAATATATCTTCACTATGAATTTACAAAACAAATCACACAAGGAAATACTATCAGAGTAAAATTTTACTGTCAGTTTATTAACAAGAATTAAATTATAAATAAAAAAAACAGAGTACATCTCATAATGTGCAATCACAACAAGTAGAGATGAAATTTTATTTTCTTATTTATAAACTATTAAACAAACACCATTACGAATCACACACAATAAAAACAGGTCGGAAAAAGAAAAAAAAAAAAATCATGGCCGTCCACATCAAGAATCCTAAGCCTTCGTTTGACATGTCAAGTTTTTTTAGCTTTTTGACTATTTTAGTCACAAAAAGATAGAATACGTTTTTTAATTTAATAAGACAAAACATCACATCAAACTCATAATCATTTCATTTTTTCTCTCACAAAAATAAAAAAAACTAAAAAACCTATTCCAAATGAAATTTTTTAGCCCCAAATTTAAAAAATCAAAAAACTAAAAAACTAACCTACATCCTAAACCAACCCAAAGCCATTACCACTCTTTTCTACTCTCTCAGTAATACCGCTAATTTGGGTCAGATGTTCGAAATCTTCATTTCCTCTGTCTTCACATCAATTTTGTGAAATTGAGATCCTCTCCGGTCACTTTCTCTAGCCTCCCTTTTTGCAACAGTCCAAATTGCTCTAAAGAAGATCCAACGGTCCAGATCACTCTATAAAAAAAGTTAATTTAATTTTTTATTTTTTAATAAAGTGATTTGGATCATTAGATCATCTCTTAGGTAAATCTGGACCGTTGCAAGAAGAGAGGGTAGTAGAGAGTGGCTGGAGAGGATCTCAATCCAATTTTATGAGGTAGTATTACTCTTCTATCAGTCTAACAGATTTGATTCAAATTTCTGATATATATATTCAGGACAACATTATCTTAAAAAAAGGGAAAAAAATATTAATATGTCCTTTCTGTTAAGAGGGTTTAGAAGATAAAACATTTTGGATTATTTTTTATACACTAACACGTTAGGCATAGAAGGTTTTGACTAAGATTTCCTTTAATTTTTGTTATGTTTTTTACATAGAAAAGAATTGTCACTACAAAAAAAATTGATTTTTTGCGACGGCAAAACACTGTCGCAAATAACCCAAACGCCGTCTCAAAATATTTTTTTGCAACGGTAAGTAACTTTTTGCAACGGCAGGTGAGGGGTCGCAACAAAGAGGGTTGCAAAAGGGTTTTAGCGACGGCATAACACCGTGGCCTTTTGTTTGCAACGGCAAAAGGCCTTTTTTGCGATGAAAAAATTCTATCGCAAATGACGCGAGAAAATCTAAATTTTTTTTGACACGGCACTATGTTACCGTCGCTAAAAAGGTCTTTTGCGACGGCAAAAACTACTTTCGCTAAAGGTTTATTTGTGACAGCACCTGAACCGTCGCTAAAGGACTATTTGCGACGGGAATACTACCGTCGCTAAAGGTGTTACATTTCAGCCAATTCCCTATCTTTTGCGACAATAAAGCTGCCGTCGCAAAAAACCTTGGTTCAATTTTCTTTTTGAGACGGTGTGTATGTTGCCGTCTCAAAAAAAAAAAAAAAAAAAACTGTATTAAAATTATTAAAAATATGAAAATAACCTATATTAAATAAAAAATAACTATAAAAAAATCGATAATTACATAATAATATAAATACATACATAAACAAAAGTTGACACATAATGAAAATTCATAATGTTGTTCCATTCATAACAATACATTAATAAAAATTCATAACAATAAAAATCATCCCACTATATAATGTCGCATAATACATACATAATGTTGTTCACAAATCTAAATAACGTAAATCAAAACCAAAAATTTTCATCATTATTCTTTCGTGGATTACAAAAATAAAAGTTGGTCACAATCTTTACACGCCCACATTCCACAAGAAGCAAACTACTACTCAGGAAATATCTAAAAATAACAAAATAAAAATAATTAATGACAATATAATGGTGTTAATATTTTAATTACAGAAAAACATAAAAAATTAACTACTAAATAATGCCTTTATCTTCTTTTTTTTTCCCACCAAAAATATAAAAAGAAAAAAAATTATTACGAGAGAATCCAAATTTGTGTCCACGCAACTTATCGTTTCACAATGTTGCATTGGGTTTTGATGCAATTCGCAATTGTCTACTATCTTTCAGCGGACAACGCTAGAATTTGAAAATTCCATAATGCAATAGCGAACAAGACCTTGGAATGTGTATATATATTATAGAAACAAATACAAGTAACAAGGTTGTCCTGATTGATGTATGTACTATATAAATAATATATGTTGCATATATAATCATGTGGTGCTATAGAGGTGTAGTGGGAGAGTGTGGTGTATAAGGTTTATGGTGCGGAAGGTTGGCGGTTCAAGTCTCCGCAAGAGCGGATCAAATTGTTCTACAACGAATTATCGTCATGAATGGCACTTGATAGCGTCACGAATAGTGCCTACCATGACATTAAAGTGTCACTGAAAGGTTTTAGTCTTGATGGTGTAATGACACTTACAAGTGTCACTAACTCTTTTTTTAATGGCGCTTGATAGTGCCACAAATAATATCTACCATGACATTAAAATGTCATTGAAAGTTTTTAGCCATGATGGTGCAGTGGCACTCGTATCTACCGTGACACCGATAGAAGTGGCACTTGTTCAAAATGCCACAAGACCAAAAAATGTCATTAGAAGAATAGTTTTGTGGCACTTTCAAATGTCACTAAACTAAGAAAATGTTGTAGTGAAAACTGTATTAAAATTATTAAAAATATGAAAATAACCTATATTAAATAAAAAATAACTATAAAAAAACCGATAATTACATAATAATATAAATACATACATAAACAAAAGTTGACACATAATGAAAATTCATAATGTTGTTCCATTCATAACAATACATTAATAAAAATTCATAACAATAAAAATCATCCCACTATATAATGTCGCATAATACATACATAATGTTGTTCACAAATCTAAATAACGTAAATCAAAACCAAAAATTTTCATCATTATTCTTCCGTGGATTACAAAAATAAAAGTTAGTCACAATCTTTACACGCCCGCATTCCACAAGAAGCAAACTACTACTCAGGAAATATCTAAAAAATAACAAAATAAAAATAATTAATGACAATATAATGGTGTTAATATTTTAATTACAGAAAAACATAAAAAATTAACTACTAAATAATGCCTTTATCTTCTGTTTTTTTCCCCACCAAAAAAATAAGAATAAATTACATATACCTCCCTCGAGATTTGGCTAAATTACAGATACTCTTGAGGTTTCAAAAATTACAGATACCCCCTGAGGTTTATATTTTCATAACAAATTGACCCCTGAGGTTTATATTTTCATAACAATTTGCCCCCTAATTTATTATGCAAATAATACCTTCAGGGGGTATATATAATTTTTCAAATCTCAGGAGAGTATCTATAATTTTGCTAAACCTCAAGAGGAGTATATGTAATTTGCCCAAAATATAAAAAGAAAAAAAATTATTACGAGAGATTCCAAATTTGTGTCCATGCAACTTATCGTTTCACAATGTTGCATTGGGTTTTGATGCAATTCGCAATTGTCTACTATCTTTCAGTGGACAACGCTAGAATTTGAAAATTCCATAATGCAATAGCAAACAAGACCTTGGAATGTGTATATATATTATAGAAACAAATACAAGTAACAAGGTTGTCCTGAGTCCACAAGCATAATCTCACAAGCACAAATGCCAAGTTCTAAAATGTGAGGCCAGGCCAGCAATGTTGTACACAACTTGTGATTAGAACAAGCTCAACATCAATTTTCTCATCTTCCAGATTGAAATGTATCTTTCAGATTTACAAATTGAATTTAAAATAATAAAAAAAACAAATGAAAATCAAATGAACATTTATCAGCATAATGAAGAATGGGCAGATATACAGTTACCTATCATCTTTGCTGCCTTCTTAAGTACTCTAGATCTTTCAGTTGTGCTTTCAAGAATGTGTGCTCGTGCTGCATCTTTTCTAGCAAGGTCTGCATCTTTTCTAGCAAGGTCTCGATCACATGCATTTCGTCCTTGAGATGGTCAATCCGCTTCTCCACCCAAGCCATCGTTTCAGGCATTCGTTCGCTTAAACTACACATGGTACTCATGTAATCGGGTTGAGGAATCAATTGGACTTGTTGAGGTCTACTTAGGAGCATGACTATGCTTAGCTGCAGCAAATGAGGAAACCAAAAACAAGTCCTAAGTTTGAGCATAAGAAAAAGTTTAAGCAATATGGAGAAGTAACAATAGTTAGTTTTTTTCCTTCTATAAAAAATGTCATGAAAAACAGTTAAATAAACATGAGCAAAAATTGAAATAGTAATAATATAGTAATAGTAATTATAAATGGTCACTGATAATATTGAACAAGGAAAATGGATATGGATAGGTGGGAAAATTAAATGCTGGTAACCAGCTCAAAGACAGAATGGAGCACATAACAAGAAAAAAACTAGTCTCACCAAGCAAATTTGTCCTACATGTGCAACATGGCAGCTGCCGTACAATAACTAATAAGGGGAAAAAGGTTAAAAAAATATTAAGATAACTATTTTTGTAATTCTCATGTTTGAAGCTCATTAATTTGTTCAGTTCAACATGAACTCAGCTTAACAAGCTAAGAAGCACTCTGGGACTAGATAGAATCCAACTAATCTAGCTCAAGCCAAGATCAAATGAAGTAGGAATTCACTGAAACTAATGAGGAACCCACTAATTGGTTTGGCCCGGCTCATTTTTACCCTACATATAAGGGTTACACTCTTCGTGTATGCACATATTTAAGACACCCTCAATATACTTACTTCACCCCCAAACTAAACCAGGTATATTTTCAAACAGCAGCAAGGCCAAACTAAATTCCAATCAATATTAACTAAGAGGCAAGATGGACTTTCTTGCACACACCACAGATTTCCAGTCGTGTTCAACAACTTATTCTAGCATTATGGCAATACTTATTATTAAAATATTGAAAGACTATTTACGTCAAGTGCGCTCCTAAGACATCCTCAATATATTTCACTGTCTAAACAAGGTATGTTTCCAAAGAGCAAGGATAAAATAATTTCCAATAAATATTATCTTATGGGGCAAGATGGACTTTCTTGCACACATTGCAGATATGATCCAGTCATGTCCATCAATTTATAATAGCATTAAAGGAATACTAAAACTTTCAAAGACAATTCCTTTCTAGACTGATATCATAACATTAATATATAACCAACACGTTAAAATTTATTCAAAAACAAGAAGAATTGAATTTTGAATTGATATTGATATGTAAATGGCTTGAATTTTTAACACAACACTAAACAACAGAAATTTTTAAAATTGAATTCTATGACAAATCAACATACTACTCTATGCCATTTAAGTCATGCATCATTGTACAAAAAACCAAAATTCAAACCCATAACAAATTTGCAGGTAATGGTTGAGATAAAACAGAAAACATACCCTATCATTTAGCAAGATGGTTTAAATAACTACCATGGAACAACAACAATGGCGCGAATGAATAAATTAAGACTATATAAACACTTCAGCAGTAAAACATCTTGGATTGTCTCTAACAAGAAATCCAAAAATGGATCACCCCTCAACCATAATAAGAACAACTATCGTCATAAGCATAATGAACCAAATTCCTAATTCAAATGAAAGAATAACTTAACCCAATTACCTTCAATGTAAATTGGAAAGATACTCATGAAAGTTAAGAAGTATTTACTTGCATCAGTAGAAGAATCATAACAAGGGTAATCACTACAACTAGTGGAACTTTGCTTTGAGATTTCAAAGACAAATATAATTTCACCATGGATTCTCTAAATAAAGATGCCAGGGAAGTAACACCATTCGACATCCCATGCAAGCGATCACCAACTAGTTGGTTAACATCCTCAGAATATGGCAACATCTGTGACATCCTTGAGTCGCTTGCTCCTTGTGACCCTTCCAAAAGCTCCCCGGTTTTTTCTTGCCTTTCTTCACGAATTTGACCATTCATAATGAGGACAGCTGTAGGATCAAAAAAAAAAAAACAATAGGAGAAGTACTCCTATTATCAGTATCACCTAAAGCATGAAAAATATAGAGCAGTAACTAGTTATTAAAAAAATTGTCACTTTTACAAACCTACCTTCTTCTTTCTCAAGGTTCTTTTGCTTCAACAGTACATGTGCCTGAATAAAAAGCTAATATATCAATTCATAATAGAAAGTAAAACTCTTGATAGACAGCAAATTAAATGAACATGCAAGAAATGGGAAGCAAGAAGTACATGTTTCATCCAAACCTCTACAGCCCCACACCACTTTCTGGCACAACTTTTGTGAATTCCAGAAGTCTCATTTCAAGGGGCTTAAACTATTCCAAGGACACTACAATTTATCAGAGTAAATCCACAATATCTTTCTTCGGCGGTGTGTTTCCGAATAGACCCTCCGACGATCAAGTCAGTCCACTTGAAGAAGAAGAGAGCACTTTTTAGAGAGAGAGAGAGAATTGCTCAGATTGGTTACCTCCAACGTCTCCATTTTCTCTTTTTCTAGGCTGGCCATGCAGCCTCAGGGATTATGGGCACACTACCTTTGCTGTCCTCCCCTGGATAGGTAGCAGTGCTCCCCTCTACCCACCTTACGCGTGTAAAGGCCAAAATCCCCAAACAACATGTGTGGAACTGCCAAATGGTATTGACACGTGTCAGGAGTGGATTTCCCCTCCATCACACCATTGGTCCAGGTGGCACACTCAACTGGGATATCATGACCGACCTATCCCTTGGAAAGAAACACCACTACGACCGGGAGGGCCGAATTGTAAGAAGCCGGTCCATCCGAACTGACTGGCCGTGAGGCGTGCCGGCCTTCGTCCCGATCTAAATCCATTCCGGGTTGTGCTTGGCTTGGTCTAGACGCACCATTGCGGATCCAACTGAATACCTAGCCGAATCACAGCTCGGTTGGGCACATGCATGACTCCACACTCCGGTCGACAAATCTAGCTCGGCCCGGCGTGATGGGCCGGGGAACTACTCTTATTTAGCCCGGTCGGACATAGTCCGGTTCTTGCAAGGTCCGTCATAACTCGCGTTACTGTAGCTCGGCCGTATTGACCGGCGCAAATCTCCCTTTCACTATATATATAAAGAAAAGAGTTTTTTCTAAGAATAATGATTGTGGAAGCTCTAAACTTCCAAATTAATTTTGTTAATTTCTTAATTTTTAAAGAAATAAAAAAAAAATCTATTTTTTAGCTCCTTAAGTCAAAAATTCAAAAACAATTTTTTTTTAATTATCTACGGTTTTGAATTTTAAAACCTTTTTAAGAACAATGATTGTGGAAACTCCCAAACTAATTTTGTTAATTTTTAAAGAAATAAAAATAAAAAATCTATTGACTAGTTCCTTAAGTCAAAAATCCAAAAACAAAAAAAGTTCTAATTATCTACAATTTTGAATTTTAAAATTCAAAACAATATGATAAGTCACCCCCACTTTTTCAAAAATAATGTTGATCAAAACAATTCAAATAAAAAAATAAAGACACTAATTATGTATGATTTTGAATTTCAAAATTCAAAATAATACAATAAGCCACTTTCATCCCATTCTCATCTTTTCCGAAAATAATATAATTTTAAAATTTTAAAAACCCAATCAAATTAAAAATTCATTACAATTCTCTCTTTACAATACTCAATATTTGATCTTTTTTTAGCCCGACCAACTCCTCTCCAAATGTAATGATGCAATGGTTGTTCTCTTTCTTTGCCAGTAGTCCAAACTTATTTCAAGTTTGTTTATTTGTTTGTATTTTTTTTTTTTTTTTGTAAATTTATATTTTCGTGTGAGTATTTTATGAATTTTTTTTTCAATGTATTTTTTTTCTAACTAAATTGATAATAAATATATATATCTGTTAGCTATCTTTGTTTTGGGAGTTGATTTGAAGTTTTTTCTTTTTTGGTGGATGTTTGTATATTTTTTATATCATTGTTATTATTTCTTTTGATATATGTGAATTGATAATATAGTTATGAGTTTATATATATATATATATATATATAGAATAAGGCGTCTTATATTGTTCTTTATGATTTGGCCATTTTTTAAATTTCTTAAACAAAATTTTCAAATTTTTTATTTGTAAAAAATTAAAAACATTTAATTGACTTGCCCATTCATAAATAAATTTTTAAATGATGAACACTATTCAATAATTTATGGATTTAAAAAAAAAAAAAATTAGCACCCATATATGGAATAAGATAACCTAAAATCATGCATTTTTTTTTTCATTTTTAACTCTTTAAAATTCTAACGGTACATTTTTATTTCCACAACATTATCTTTTTATATTTACAAAGATAAAAAAAAAAAAACTAGACCGGAGTTGTATAATGGTTAGTGGAGGTGGTGAGCATGGCAACAACAAGGGTGATGATGAGCTCGGCCAGAGCATTATTTAGGTGAATTTTGAAAAGGTGAATATTAAAAGAATAGTAGATAGTTTGGGTGATAAATTGATTTAGAAAACTAATGTGTAGTTGAGATTAAGTATGAATTTTGCCATATAAAAATTGAATATGGATCCTATATTGTTTTTTATATATAATTTTGTGTACTTTTGTATAACTATAAAAAATTATTGTGATCACATATTACTTATCATTTGATATATTATTGTTATATTATCGTAATGAATTTTATTATTAATGCCTATTATCAATGCAGTGATGAGACGTCGCATGATAAATAAAAATATGTTTTGTTATTATTATTATTGATAATATATTTCTTTATTTACCTTTTTACAATGTTCAAAAAAATTAATTTATGTTTAATGTTTGTTTTTGTAGATGAGAAGTCAAAAATAAATTTTAACCAAATTCAAGTTATAACAAATTTAAGATTGAAAAGGAAAATTCAAAAGAAATTATAATTATATATAATTTTAAAATATTTTTTAAAAAATACAAGGGAAAATTGGAACTATAAATTAAAATTATCAAACAACTTAATTCTATGAAAAAATTTAAATGAAAAATTGATCAGATTTGAATTTATATTTTTAATTATTTTTAATAAGTCATTAATTTTTTATACCAGTTCTAGCCTTTTTTTTTTTGTCTTAAATAGTTTTTCAGATATAAATATATCTTGATATTGATACAATCAATATTGGACATATTTTAAGAAGGGTAAATTATATCAATAGTCTCCACATTTTGTCTCTTGTGTCAATTTGGTCTCTGTAATTTCAATTAGTTTGATTTTTACTCATAATTATAGATTTTGTATTAATTTGGTCCAATTGATAATGCTGGTTAAGATTTTTGAAAGAAAATAGTTATTGAGTCGGTTGAGATTAACTTATTGAGTTAAACAATTTTATAATTTTGTCTATAAAAGTACAACAGATGCTACTCATTTGTGTATTTTCAATAAAAAAAAAACACTAGCAATTATGACAATTGGACCAAATTGAGACAAAATTATAAATTTATGGTAAAAATTGAGCAAATTAAAATTGCAAGGACAAAAATAACACAAGAGTTAAAATATAGAGACTACCAATGTAATTTATCCTTTTAAGAATAAGTACATAATTTCTTAATTAATTTGAAATTTTTAATAAATATACCAAACAAATATTTACATATTTCCTATTTTTATTATATTTTTTTGAAAATATATTTACTAATTAAAAATTAAATAAATAGGTAGGTCTACCTGGAGAGTTTGAAAGAATACATGTCTTCTCCACCATTGCTAGTAACTCCAATACCTAGAGAAGAGCTCTTTTTGTACCTGGCAGTTTCACAACACGCAGTTAGTGCAGTGTTGGTCCGAGAGGAAAGAATCCAACACCTGCCCATCTTTTATGTCAGCAAGACCTTGCTGGGCGCAGAAACTAGGTACTTGCCATTGGAAAAAACTGGCCTTAGCCTTGATGATGGCATCTAGGAAGTTGTCGTATTACTTTCACGCCCACACCATAATCGTCCTCACAGCTTTCCCATTAAAAGCTTTGTTTGAGAGGGCGAACTTTTCCGGGCAAATCTTGAAGTGGGCGGTGGAACTGGGACAGCACGATATCAAGTTTCAACCCAGAACCGCAATAAAAGCCCAAGCATTGGCAGACTTTGTGGCAAAATTCACGCCAGGAAGCCATCAGATCTGCCCAGTTGACTTGACTGGTGCAACCAAAATGGGGATGGAAAGCGCCGCAGGAAGCGCGCAACCCCTGAATCAGAATGCCCAGCCACACCCCAAAACAGATCGGAGTAATGATGAGCAGGAAGAGGCGAACCATGCTGCACCAGGCAAAGACTCATCAGCAAACAAAATCAGATAGTGAGGGGCAAATAATAGGTATGGACTTGGAAGAAAACATCAGCAACACTCACAACCCAAAAACATCATCCGACCCCTCAATTTACTAGAAGCTATTCGTTGGAGAGATGTGGAAGCTCTTTGTGGATAAAGCATCTAACAGGCACGGTACGGGACTTGGCATCGTCCTCATCTCACCAGATGGCCCATTAGTGGAACAGGCAGTCAACCTTAGCTTCCCAGTATCAAACAACGAGGCGGAGTATGAAGCGCTTTTAGCAGGCCTAAAGTCAGCACTCTATATGAAGGCAACCAAGCTAATGGTTTACGGTGACTCCCAACTAGTTGTAAACCAAATTTCAGGCGACTACGAGGCAAATGATAAAAGGATGGCTAAGTACCAAGAGTTAGTGAGAAAGGAGATCATGAAGTCCGAAGTAGTACGGATAGAGCAGATCAGCAGAGAAGAAAATAGTAGAGCAAACGAACTAGCAGGCTTTGCTTCAATGGCAGACACATCCATCCCACATCCATTATTGATCGACTTCCTACCAAGACCAAGCATTGAAGAACCCGAAGAAGCCGAAGTATGTTGTGCCAAACTAGGCCCTTCATGGATGGATCCCATTATAGTGTTCTTAAAGGACGACATTTTACCCAAAGAGAAGAAAGAGGCCAACACAATAAGAGCAAAGTCGCAGCGATTTGGTTCTTCCCGTCAATGGCCTTGTACAAAAAATCCTTTACAAGACCTTACTTGAAATGCATCCATCCCAGCAAGGTTGAGGCATTCTTGTTCGAGATACACGAAGGCGTATGCGGAAGCCACTAAGGAGGAAGATCATTGGCCTACAGAGCAATTTCACAGGGATATTGATGGCCTTACATGCAAGCAGATTCAGAGAAGTATGTCAAGAAGTGCGAGAAATGTCAGAAGTTCGCACACTAAATACATCAGCCAGCCAGAGAGCTTCTACCTTTAACTAGCCCATGGCCCTTCGCAATGTGGGACTTAGACATAGTAAGGCCACTTCCAACGGCACCGGGCAACAGAAAGTTCTTTCTTGCAACAACA